ATGTACACCCGTGGCCTCGCGGGCGTCCCCTGCGATCAGCCGGCGGGGGGAGAGGAGCCCCGGGGCCGGGTTTACACACGGTTCTGCCCCCTGCACGGGCGCCCCTGCAGCCCCGCGCTGGGACATCCCTGAAGGACGGGGGGAGGGACACCCCGCTGGGCGCGGGGCCGTGGGCAGCGCACCTGGTCGTGCTCTCTGCTCGGGAGGAGGAGGCCGGACGTGAGGCCACACACTGACCCGCGGGCGGCGGCCGGTCTGCTGGACGGTCAGGGACTCGGAAGGACCACGACTGGGCGACTGACGACAAGGGAACTCGGGGAGGAGGCCCGCGGCAGGCAAAGCGGTCGTGTGTGCGGCCCGTGGGAACGGCCCCCAAGGCGGGAGCTCGGCAGAGGACTTCCACAGTCGGGGGGCAGGGCGGCCCGTTCTGTGGGCGCCCTCAGCCCCTCCCCCGGCCAGCCCTGCCGCCGCCCACCGGGCCGGGAACAAAGGGGCCCCGCTGGCAGAGACGGAGGTGGTCGTGGACTTCCCGCGCCAAGGCCGCCGGCTGTGGCCACCAGTGCGCGTCCTGTCTGCCAGCGGCCGAGACCCACGCGGAGCCCTCCCGCGCACCGTTCCCGGGGCGATCGGCCGGCCAGCTGCAGGCAGGGGCCCGCGCGGGACAGCCTCCGGCCCGGAGAGGGCAGGGCCGCCCTTCCTGCAACAGACACTCATTCGGGATACAGACCCGCCTTCTGTGCACACGGGACTCCCGCCAAACGTCATCGTGGACTTCCAGGACGCCTCACCCGCCATCGTGGCGTCTGCCACCAGAGCTCTGACCCAGAAACTCGCTCACGGCAAACGGGCCGTGGCCACGGGTCGCGCTCCCGGAACTCACCGGCCTCACCGCGGTCCCCACCAACGGTAGCAGCTGCCACGACAGGACAGCGGCACGGCCTTCTGACGGCTCCGTGACAGCCCCAGGGAGGCGGCCGTGCCCGCCGGGGCTGGGACAGGGCTCTCCCGAAGGCCGAACGTGCTCTGAGTCAGCGTCCAACACAGGGTGCTGTGTGCCCCCCGGCCAGGACTCACGGGCCCAGGAATCAAGGCCTGGAAAGGGCGGGGGCCCCCTCACTACTACCCCTAGTGACCCACCGGCAACTTGTTTGTGTCCCGTCCCCACGACCTTATGCTCTGCTGCCTGAAGGAAGAGTGGGTGCGGACACAGCGGAGCCCGCGGGGCGCCTCTCAGGAGCACCCCCCCCCCCCGGGATTAAGTCCACCCAGCCCGGGGAGGACTCGCAATGGCCCTCCAGGAAGGAGGTGTGGGGCCGCCGCACCAGGCTAGGAAGCACAGGCCGCGGGTGCTCGCTGGGCGCAGAGGGAAGGCACGCGCGGTGGGCAGCGGAGGAAGGGAGCCCCAACCCCAGCGAGGACCACGGGCCCTACTGGTCTTCACAGAAATGAGGACTGTGGTTGTCGTGAGCATTTCCTCCTGACTTTTCTATGAGTGTGTGTGTGTGTGCGCGCGCGCGTGCACGCACATGTGCACACACTGGTGAAAGAAAGAAAATCTAGGGGCGCCTGGGCAGCTCAGCCAGTTGAGCGTCCGACTTTGGCTCAGGTCATGATCTCATGGTTCGTGGGTTCAGGCCCCACGTCGAGCTCTGTGCTGACAGCTCGGAGCCTGGAACCTGCTTCAGATTCTTGTCTCCCTCTCTCTCTGACCCTCCCCTGCTCACGCTGCCTCTCTCTCTCAGAAATAAATAAAACATTTAAAAAAAGAGAGAAAGAAATCCAAGAAAACCTAAATAAATGGAGAGACATACCATGTTCATGGATTGGAAGATTCAATATGGTAAAAGATGCTAATTCTCCCCAAACTGACCTATGGATTTAATGCAATTCCTGTTTAAAAATCCCAGCAAGTTTTCTGGCCAGAGACAAGCTTATTTTTGAACTGATATGGAAAGACACGTCAGAACCTAGAATAAAGGACAGTAAAGTCAGAGGAATTGCTCTACACAAAATTAAGATTTCCTATACAGTATCAAAAAGGGTGTTCTTGGTGGGGGTAGAATCATAGATCAATGGAGCAGAACAGAGACAACAGAAGGGAAACAAACGTGCTCAGCGGAGTTTTTGGCAAAAGCAATCCAACAGGGACGAGCATGGCTTTCCAACAGGTTACACACCTACAGGCAAAGCACAATAAAGCAGCCTAAACCTCACACTTCGTACAAAAAGCAACCCAAAATGGATCACCGAGTGACACAGAAAACTTTAACACTTTCAGAAAAAAATACATAGGAGAAATCTTTGGGACCCAGAGGTAGGCAAAGGGCTCTTAGCCGTGATACCAAAAGCATAATCCATAAAAGGAAAATTAGATAAAAGTGGAATCTTTTGCTGTATGAAAGACCACGTAAGGAGAGCAAACAGACGAGCTTCAGACTGTGAGGCAGTGGGTCAGGGATGGGTCTAGCTGTGTCAAGGGAGATTCAAATTAACCACCCCTTATGTGAGATTCACTCAGTAACATCTTGTGAGCACCTGTTAGCTCCAGCCAGAGTTCTGGGCGCTTGGAGTCCCTGCCTCGCATTCTGGTGGGAGAGACGGGTAAAAGGTGCAGAGCAAGAAGCCAGCTACGTGGTGAATCAGGAGACCCGGGACGTGTAAGGAACAAAGAAACCCCAGCAGGGCTCGCAGGCAGGGGCGTCATCTGCCCCTCCTTGGTTCACATCCTGCCTTGAGGGGCGCCACGGGCTCCTCCACTTCCCCCACACAGCTGGGCACTCTGACCCTCTATGCTGTCTGCTCTCTTCACACAGGTGACCTCATCTCGCATGTGCTCAAAGTCCTATACCAGTCAGGGCTCCCCAGAGAAACAGAACCAGTAAGGTACATAGTACCCTGTACAAGACAAGACTTATTCTAAGAATTGGCTCAAGGGGGGCTCAGGCAGTTGGGTGTCCGAGTCTTCATTTCGGCTCAGGTCATGATCCAAGGGTCACAAGATGGAGCCCGGAGTCAGGCTCCACGCTGAACATGGTGCCTGCCTGAGATGCTCTCTCAACCTCTCCTTCTGCCTCTCCTCTCCGCACGCTCTCTCTCTCTCTCAAAAAACAAACAAAAAACTTTTTTCTTATCCCTCTACCTACAAAAGCCTTCTGTTTTTATACTCATCTCCCCAAACTCCTGTCCACTTGCTACACAGAATGCTGCCTGGCTCACGAATTGTTGCATAAAGCCAATTAGATCTTCCATTTTACTCAGTTGAATTTGGTTTTTAACAGTGGAAAGAATCGAAATGTCCATGATGACTGGACACGTAAATGTGGTCTATCCACACAATGGACTATTGAGCCATTAAAAAGGAATGAAGCACCTGCTGGAACATGGATGAACCTGGAAAACACTTTGTGCAGTGAAAGAAAGCAGACAGAAAAGGCCACCTAGGGTGTGGTGCCATTCCTATGAAATGTCCAGAATAGTCAAAACCAAAGAGGCAGAAAATGAAGTAGTGGTTATCAGGGGTTGGGGGGAGGAGGAGGGAAAGGAAGTGGTTACTAATGAATGGGTAGCAGGTTTCTCCTGGGAGTCATGAAAATGTCCTAAAATTAGCCAATGGTGGGGTTTGCACAACCTAATGACTATACTAAAGTGTACTCTTTAAACAGGTGAGTTATATGGGTTGTGAATTCTCTCAATTAAATATATATGTTTATTTATTTATGCAAATTTACTTGGGGAGAGAGAGAGAGAGCCAGGGGAGGGCAGAGAGAAAGAGAATCCCAAGCAGGTTCCTCTCCATCAGCGCAGAGCCCCAGGGGGCTCGATCCCACTAAAGCTGAGATCATGACCTGAGTCGAAATCAAGGGTTGGAGGGGCGCCTGGGGGGCTCAGGTCATGATCTCATGGTTTGTGAGTTCAAGCGCCACATCGGGCTCTGTGCTGACAGCCGGGAGCCTGGAGCTGCTTCGGATTCCGTGTCTCCTTTTCTCTCTGCCCCTTCCCAGCTCGCTCGCTCTCTCTCTCTCTCTCTCTCTCTCAAAATTAAATAGATATTAAAAAAAAAAAAGAAATCAAGGGTTGGATTGTTAACCGACTGAGCCACTCAAGCATCCCCCACCTTTATTTTATTTTGCTAAGGCAACTCGGATGGCGCGCCTCCTCTGCTCGCACACTGCAGCGACTCCCATCTCCGGGGCAGTAAAGCCTGGCCCGCACCTGGCCCTGGAGGCCCCTCGGAATCCGCCCTCCCCTCTCCCCTCCGGCACCCCTACACCCCCCGCGCTGCCCCAGGCCCACCGGCCCCAGCTGTTCCCAGAACCCGCTTTCACGCGCCCCCGCCCGCACTCTCCCGCCCCCCCCGCCCGGCACCCGCGTCTGCACCCCCGCACCCCCATCGCCTCACCCCACCGCCTTCCTCCTGCGCGCTGCAAGCCTGGGCGCTAAGGGCTGCACTGCAGGCGGGCGGGCACTTCTCTCTGCTCCCAGATGTGTCCCCAGCACCTACTGCCTGGCACACAGTGGGCTTTCGGCAAACACTCAAAACATTAAAAAGCATAAGTGACTATAATTTCAAAAATCAAATATTAACGAAATCAAATGTTAGCGCCCCAATAAACCTCTGCACAGTCTTTTTCCAACGAGGTGCCCAGGGAGCTCCGACTTCACTCTCACGACTGGTGACGACGAGTGCGCTTACCACCGGCGTCCGCGGGGCAACGCTGCCCAGGACGCCGGCCTGGCGCCCCCGCCCGCCTCCCAGAGCCCACCGGGCGGGCGAGGGTCCGCGGCGCGCAGGCGCACAGGCGCGCCCGGGCCGACGCCGCCGGTCTCCAGGGGTGCCCCCTGGCGGCGGCCGGGCGCCTTCCGGGCGGAAACGGCTACTGTGGGTCCCGGGGCGCATGCGTGGGTCCCGGAGTTCTCGCGAGATTTGGAAAGGCGGACTCTGGCGCGGACTTCCGGCGGTGGGGCCTGCGGCGCTGGGCGCTGAAGGGGAAAGTCGGGGACCCGGGGACGGGCGGGGACAGCGGGCGCCCCAGGGGCCGCCGACAGGGCCGGGGGCGGAGCGGGGCCCGCCGCCATGGACCCGTTCCTGGTGCTGCTGCACTCGGTGTCGGCCGGGCTGTCGAACAGCGAGCTGACCGAGCTCAAGTTCCTGTGCCAGGGCCGGGTGGGCAAGAGGAAGCTGGAGCGCGTGCAGTGCGGCCTCGACCTCTTCACCGTGCTGCTCGAGCAGAACGAGCTGGACCGCGAGCGCACCGGGCTGCTGCGCGAGCTGCTCGCCTCCCTGCGGCGCCAGGACCTGCTGGCGCGCCTGGACCGCTTCGAGGCGGGCGCGGCGGCCGAGGCCTCGGCGGAGGAGCGAGGTGGGCGCGGGGCCTGGGGGGCGGGGAACTGCCCAGCGCGCAGACGGCGGGGCCCAGGCTCCTCAAGGTTAACGCACTCCGTCTGGGTTGCAAACCACGAACTCACGCCCGGATCCTTCCGGCTTCCGTGGACGTCGCTCCAAAGGGAAGGGTGTTGCTCACCTCTGGGTAGAGAGGAGTGGCGGGGGGGGGGGGGGGGGGGGGGGGGGGGCGCGGGGGGCGGGGGCTCGGGGACCCTGCGCTGCTGCTTTTGGTTTCGTTCTGCCTCTGGGAATGCCCCGGCTGCTCCCTGGACCGCAGCGCGAGCACGGCGCTGAAAACGGCTCTTAACGCAGGGGCTTCGTGCTTCCGACGCTTGACGTGTTGGCAGTAACCCAGCAGTTAGGGACTGCTGTCTGGGCTCATTCCTGTCGTCCAAGCCTGAGGACTGTGGCTGGGACGTGTTAAGTGACTTGCCTGAGACGCACTGCCCTTACGTACCAGGGACTGAACCGAGGCAGCCTGGGGTGCGCGGGTGGGGTTCTCCCCAGCCGCCTCTCTGACCAGGTCCATTCTGTGTGGCTTCCTTCCCTGTGGTCAGCCACCCCCTCTCTCTTCGCCCTCCCCTGGGGCTCAAAAGGGCTTCCAGGGGGAAAAACGAGACCTGGGTAGAGCAGGGCTTCTCAGCCACACCCGGTGTTCTCAGAGCCCCTGGGAGGGGGAGGGGAGGAGTGCTTTGCCGACACCCCTCATGGGCTTGAAGCTGTGGCGTGGCATCAGAAAGGATAGAAATCTAACACCGCAGGCACTACTCCATAAGGACTCGTGCTTGGGGCACCGGGGGGCTCAGTCCGTTGAGCATCTGGCTCTTGATTTTGGCTCAGGTCGTGATCTCATGGTTTGTGGGTTCGGGCCCCGCACTGGCGGAGCCTGCTTGGAATTCTCTCTCTCTGCCCCTCCACTGCATGCTCTCTCTTTCAAAATAAATAAATTTTAAAAATTTTTTAAAAGACTCATGCTTATTGGTGCAGATGGAGACAGCACAGCTTTCATACCTGCACATGCACACACACCCATACACACACTCATTGCTTTGCAAACAGAAGAACTCTGTTTCCAAGGACATTCAGTTGACGAGAAGATTGTTAACATGATACGTTTAAAGAGCAGCCCACATGCCTGGGGGGCTCAGTCGGCTAAGCGTCCAACTTCAGCTCGGGTCATGATCTTGCGGTTTGTGAGTTTGAGCCCCGCACCGGACTCTGTGCTGACAGCTCAGAACCTGGAGCCTGCTTCAGATTCTGTGTCTCCCCCTCTCTCTGTGCCTCCCCTTCTCATGCTCTGTCTCTCAATAATAAATAAAAAAAGGTTAACAAAATTTAAAAAATAAGAAGCAGCCCACAAGGTACGGACGATAATTTTGTGGATTTACGTGCGTCCGTGTTTGTATGTCGCAGGAGAGTGCACTAGACGGGAACGGGTGCGGGCAGCTTGAGGAGAGGTGACTCTGACCCCTTCACGGAACACAGCAGAGCCTAATGACAGAATGGACCCTGGCCCAAGGCCGTCAGGGTGTTACTGTCTGGCTGTGCTACTGTCTAGCTGTAGGACCTTGGGAAAACCACCCCGCTTCCCTGTGCCTCAGTTTCCTCGTCTCTGCATTGGTTTCAGCACCACGAGTGCCCACCTCCCGGGGCCGGAAGAGGCGGTCCATGGGCTGCCGGCATCACGAAGGCTCGTAGCTAAACACATGCTCGCAGGGCCCTCTGAGCAGCACTTTGTCCTTCCTCTGCTCACCCCCCTTTCCTGAAGCAGCTTCTGGCCTGTAGTGGCCCCTCTTGCTGCTCTCAATAGTGACTTTTCAGCAGATGAGAACAGGGTAGCTGAGAACCAAAGACTGCTGGTTAGTCTGGGCAGCTTCCAGAATAAGAACTGGGCTGTCTTTGTGCCCCTGGGCCGCCATACAACCGACCACTACTTGGGGCCTTGAGGCAGGAGTGCGGAGCGGACTCCCTCCCAGCTCTGGAGCCAGGGGTCAGGAATCGAGGTGCCGTCGGGGCCCAGAGGCTCGAAGACCAGGTCCTTCTCCGCCTTCTGGCGGCTCCAGGCGTTCGTTCTTTGGCTTATGGCCACATGTTTCCAGTGGCTGCCGCCGTGGTCTCGTGGCTCCCTTCCTGTGTGCTTCCCAGGATTCATGTCACTGGCTTTGGGGCCCGGGGTGACCTCCTCCCAACATCCCTAACTTAATCCCATCTGCAAGGAGCCTTTTCTGAGTAGATCACCGTTCATGGTTCTGGGGACTTGATACAACCTGGGGGCCACCATTCAACCCACTGCAGGCTCTCCCTCAGTTTCCCCTGTCCCGGAGCGGTTAGCTCACCACACTCCCCCCTCCTCCCCGCCCACGCCAGCAGGTCTTCGACAGGCCACACCTCCCGAGTGGCACAGGATTGGAGGCCGCCTTGGGACGCTCCCCCGGCCCCCCCACTGCTGGGCGCCGTCAGCCTGCACTGGAGGGTGTACCCAGCACTTGCGCCACCGCTGAGAGTGGAGGACTCCCTGTCTTCTAAAGGGCCCCCCGCTGGGCCTCTGCTAAATCATCTTGTTCTTCCCCAGAGCTGTGCGCGGCGTTTGACATCATATGTGACCACGTGGGGAAGGACTGGAGAAGGCTGGCCCGCCAGCTGCACGTGTCTGACGCCAAGATCGATGCCATCGAGGAGAAGTACCCCCGCAACCTGACCGAGCAGGTGAGGGAGTCGCTGCGGGTCTGGAAAAACAGCCACAAGGAAGACACGTCCGTGTCCCACCTGGTGAGGGCGCTCAGGGCCTGTCAGCTGAACCTGGTGGCCGACTTCATCGAGGACGAGCAGCAGGCCCGGCGCCTCGACAGCGAGAGCAGTGGAGGCGGCAGCACCAGCACCAGCACCGTGTCCCTGATGTCACGGGACTCAGATAGGCCCTCCTCGGGGGTCCCCTGGTGACCCAGCGGCTCTTCTCCGGGGGGGACCCGAGGGCATCTGCACAGCCTGAACTTTGGTTCCCCACCAAGGTTGACCAAGTGCCTTCCGCATGCCAGTGCCGTGGAGACGTGGCCGTGAGCCGGGACGGGGAACCCCAGCACGGTGGCTCCATCGCAGCTGGCATCCGGTGTGCCCACGCTCTGTGCCAGGCGGGGCTCTGGGCGCGTACAGATGCTCTCACTCATTCCTCGGGTCGCCCCGGAGAGGGAGAGTCTGTTGTCCCATTAAATGAGGCCCTGTGGGAGGAAGTTTTGGATCCACGTCCAGCACACAGAAGGGACATGAAAATCACTGTCGTCAGCATCCGGGTGGGGAGACAGGGCTGAGGCCAGTAGCCACGGTCAGCAGCCGTGGGAGGGCAGGGTGTGGAGCCAGGGCTGTCGGCTCCAGAGTCCGCATGCGACCAGGGGGTCTTTCTGCTGCTCCCAGAGCTAGCCAGAGGCTTTGAGGCCGGCGGTGTAGACCTGTTACCAGGGATGGTGGCGTGAGGAAACCTGTGGGCTCGTGGCCTTTTCGTGTGTTAAGGGACGGTAAGGTTTACGAGGATGGCCAGAAGTGACACCGTTAAGTGCTCAGAGGTGATGGGGGCAGAGTCCTTGCTCTACAAATGTTAGTTCTTAGCAGTATTACGACTTCTCTGATGCCACAGCTTGTTATTTTGTATCAAAATCACTGTTCTGATAGCCGACTTAGTAAGGGAGCTGGGTGCTGTAATTTTAAGAAGTGGTCTCTTCCTGCTTTCAAGTCATCCTATTAAAGCCTGTGCCTTGATGGGGAAAAGCTCCACAATACAGAGAATTTTCCATTCCGATATATGATGATTTCATTTCTCGTGTTCTCGAAAGTGCCGCCACGGTCAATTTCCACCTCCCTTGCAGCTTCTCTGAGGCTGAACCGCGAATGGGGCAGCCTGACTTCATAACGGCCCCAGGAGCCGCTAACAAGGGGAGTGCTGTCTCTAAGCCGAGTGGCTGCCCCTTGTTCAGGCCCTCCGGCCATGACCTTGAGAAAGCCACACATGATGTCCTTCCGTGCCACCCTGACCTCAGGCCGCTGAGATCTGGGCCCCGTCATCACGCTAAGCTACGGAGCAGCCTTCAGTGGGAACCCCGTGGTGTCGGGCACTGTGCTGGCGGCCGGGGCCGGAGCAGGAGACAAGAGTGAGGTGGCCCGCTCATAGACCACCGACACCTGGCCGGGAGCACGGGCGTGAACCAGTTCACAAGTTCGGGCGCTGCCAAGGGGCCAAGCCGGTCTGGGGCCTGCGTGTGCCCACATGCCAGCGCACCCGCCTCTTTCAGCCTGTGTCACAGCCAGTTCTGCGGGTAACGGACCAGTAAATGTCAGCGGCTTGGCTAATGAGTAGCTTTGGGCGGTAGGTTTTCCAGAAGATGTGTCCTTTTTTCTAGAACAGAGGCAGACTTCACAGGGTCTTCCATTCCCTCAAAGCTGAAGACGTGAGCTGCTGAAATATGCACATGCCAGACACCCTGACATCCGCCCTGTGCCCCCTGATGCCTCTCACCCCTGGGAGGAGCCCCCCCTCCACACCAGGGGTGCTGACAGGGGCCTTGACAACCTGTGCCTCCCGCACCGTCTCTCAGGCCTGTGTGTGGGGCGGCACCCGGGTACCCCCCGCACTCCTGTCCCCGTGGCGGGGGAGAAGCACGGGCTCTGGAGCCCCCTCCCCTGACCCCCTCCCCAGGGCCGATCTGGCCTCGAGACTCAGGAACGGTGCTGGGTGAGAAGAGTCTCCATCCTGCTCCGCGGGGCCGTTTGCTTCCCAGGACCCGACCGGGTGCCGCGGGGGCTGAGCCCGGGGCCTGGTGGGGCGTGAACGGCACGAGACGCTGCCCCCGGGAGATGGTGGCTCAACGCCAGACCGAGGCACCGGTCCACACGCCAGTGGTCAACGCCAGCGCGGTGCCCCCGCCTCGCCAGGCGGAAGGAGGAGTGTGGGGGGCTCGTAGGGGCACCGAAAATGGGAAGATACGCGGCCAGCGCTTGAGACCATGGTTTTGGGGATGATATTTAGACTTTGTGTATTTTCCACATTTTCTGTGTTTTTTCGTCTTCCGCCGGACACAGTTAACGGGTGTGCCCGGGGCCGTGAGGCGGGAGAGGCCCCAGAGAGCCGGGAAGCAGGGGGGCTTTGCAGTCGGAGCCGGGTCAGGCCCTGGCTCTGCCCCCTGGCGCCGCCCTTGGAAGGGGCCACTAGGTAAACATCAGGTGCTTTGCCCAAACGCGTCGTCGCCGCCTGCTCCACCGTAAATGTCAGCAGTGACCTTTCACCCGGAGCCCCAGAGGTTTGTCAGCGGGCTTTCTGGTCCTTGTGACCTCCCCGCACTGAGCCCAGCCTGTGGCCCCTGGTCCTGGGGTGTCTTCTCAGCCTCCCATCTGCACATCCCTCCCCGCCCCCCCGGGACACTGCTTCGGGGTGGAAGGGACTCTGGGTCTGTGGTAGCCGCTGTGGGGACTGATCTGACTGCCATCTGATCAGAGCCATGCCCTCTGACAGGGAGCGGCCACGATACTGAGACAGGATTTTCTCGTGGCTGCTTCACAAAAAAACACAATCCACGTTCCATTCCTTTTAGTTGCAATTTTTGTTTTGATGAAACGTAAGCTTTCGGTAAAGGTACGCCAGTAACGTGGCTCACTTGAAAAGTAAAGTTAGAGCCACATTTTGCGCCTGGTTCTTTCTGTCCCGGGAAAGATGGAAAGGGCCCAAGTGTTGTGCTTCCTGGGAGATTTCAGGCCCGCAGGAGGGAGTGTGGTGAAGTGTTTCCTGGAACAAAGGGTCCATCCACACACCCCCCCCCCCCGTCTCACTCCCACAGATTTTCACGCCATTCTCCACCTCCCCTCCGCCCTCACCGTGGCCGCCCGGTGCGTGGGGCTCTGTCACTCACCCCTCCAGGCCCGTCCGGACTCCTGCATGGGGGCAGGGTTGAGGCAGACCCTCACCCGTCCCCTTTCCGCATTCCTCCGCCGCATCTTCCTCCCCAGTGGCCTGCGCCGCCCCCCCCCCCCAGCTGCACCCACGAGGTCCCAGGCTGCCAGGGTCAGTGTGTACTTGGTGGTGCTGCTCAACTTTGGGGGCTTTGATGCTTGTCTTGATTATTCCCTGACTTCCTCCTGCATCTGACCCGCTCCATCCAGACTCCACACATCCAGAACTGGCTTCCTGCCCACAGGCCGGGTCCCTGGTGCCACCCAGAGTCAGCTGCCCGGGGGCCACGCCTGCCATGCTAGTGAGAGTGCACGGGTCCCAGGCGTGAGGTCATGGGCATCAGGGGTCAGGCACCACCCTGCCCACCACACACAGACCTGGCATCTGCCCCCGCCTGCGCCTGGTTCTGTGCCCGGCCGCGTGGCCAGAGGGGCAGCCGGGCCCCCTCGCACCTGAGCCCTCCCACACCAACTCCACACTACCGCCCCAGCCTCTCCACCCTCCTCCCCCTGCTCCCCTGCCCCACCCCTTCTCAAGAACCACCCTCCATCAGCAGCCACACCCCTGAGTGTCCTTAGAAATGGCAGCTCTCCACATCCTCTAGGGTCGTGTCCGTGTTTCCGTGTGAGTCACGTGGCAGGCTCCTCTCCAACACACGACTCTGCTCTGCGTTCGGAACCAGCCGGCGAGCGTGACTCGGAGCAGCACATGCTCGCGTGAAGGTGGCCATCACACTGCATCCGCCAGCGGGAGGGAAGGCAGGACCCCAGCGGGAGACGTGCCATCAGATCTGCTTCCGTTAAAGAGCCGCCTCGGTTTCTTCAGTCACGGGCGACGTTAAGACACTGGCGAAACTCACACGTGTACCAACCGCATGAACTGTCACCAAGGACCAGATGCCAGTCAGTCCTCAGTGGGGACTCATTGAGCCAAAGCCACACGACCTGGGGGCGAGGCTTCTGTGCTGTGGCCTGAACAGAAAACCATCATGGGCCATTTGAGTCACCCCAGTGCTGGGGCCGCACCAGCCCAAAGCGAGGAAATGGCAGAGTGTGCACAGCTCCGGCCACGAGAAGCGGAACCTGGTATCTCCTTCCGCTACTACTGGCTCTTGTTGGAAATGAGCCTGCGGGTTCTGACCAGGCCTCACAGTATTCCAGATCAGACCAATATTCCCCACACAGATTCCCCATAAGAAAAAGCATATTCCTGTCTCTTCAAAAGAGATTTTAGATGAAAGCTCTGTGGATGATTGTCAAAAGGCCCTACCTACGGGCCTTGCAGATCCAAGACTTAGATAATAAAGGGGGTTAAGAACGCAAGATTCACAATTGAGCCTGGCCCCGAGACAAAGAGCCTAATTTAGAGTTAAGGAACAGTAAGGGCAGAGCTTAATACTTAGACCTTTTCCAGCTGGTGATGTACGGCAGTCCCTTCCCTAAGGCCTACTTTCCACAAACACCCTCCCTTACACTGGCGGCTGGGATGAGGATAGATAAGAGCAGCTAAAACAAAACCCAAAAACAAAGGCCGACACATTTAGGGACTCCATGGTGTTTACACATTCAGCATCAAGTCAAAAAGGCTTCCACAAACAACTGATTAACCAGCTCAAAAACATCCATCCTCTGTGAGCCAGACAGAATGCCTCCTAGCCTGTCGATATACAACGTAACCTGTGTCCTAATCTCAGCGTTAACTTAGAACAAATATGTATGTCATCCTGTTTTTCACTAAGAACACCCTGTTATTTCTGTAGTTGTAAGATTTACTCAACCTCACTATGATTGGGGTCGTTTTGCAAGAATACTTCGGAAAAACCTGTTCTTGTACACTTTTCAAGGCATCTTATCACAAAGAGTTTTCCATTGTAAAAATTCCTTCTTCTGATCTCATGTTGTCGTTGGACCTTTAAATAAAGACACCAAACCCAACAGTGCAGAGTTGCCTGCCTGGGGATCAGAAAGATTCTCGGGGCTCTCACTCTCTGTCGCCAACACCGTCCATCCTTCAGGGACCCCTGGACTGGCTGGAGCGGGTCTCCGGCACCCCAGGCTTCAGCTACGAGGCCTCCAACGTCCCAAACCTACCTGTGAACACTGGGTGGCTGCTTCATTTCGGCACAATGTGTTTCGTGGGGCAGAGCCACTGGAGATGGTGAAGTTCTGGACGTGGAGGGTGGGGACAGTTGCGCGAGATTATAAGCGTGCGTGGTGGTGCTTAAAAATAGCGAAAAGGGTAAGTTTTATGTACATTTTACCATAAAAAAATCCTACCGCACATGAAATTAACGATGCATTTAATTACGATAATAGTCTAAATCGTATGTGTGTTGCGGGCTCCTCGCTTCCTGTTTTGTAATCTTACTGGCATTTCATAGTGTACGAGGGCCAGAAGCGTAAGCTGTTATCTGGCCTTATGTGTGTACGTATTGAGGCAACACGATTATAAACAAAACCTTGCTCATCACTGGGAGACTGGGTCCCCGCCACTCCTCCCCAGGGGGTTTCTGGTGGAGAAACTGAGCTCCACGGGCCCCCAGGCCTGAGGATCCTGCTCTTCTCTTCCGCTCCGTCATGACACACAGGAGGACTGCCCAGCCCAGCCCGTCCCCGGGCACCCACCCCCACCCCGCTGTTTTCTCTGCCCGCACCCTGCGCCCCTACTGGGCCTAAGACCCTGCTCAGACACCCAGGCGGATGGCGGCCTTGCCCGCCTGCCGCCCCGCTCCCCCGGGCACGCAGCAGGGAGGCAGTCAGGCCATGACACCATCTGGGGGGTGCGGGCAGGCCAGCGGCCTTCTCTCTGGGCCTGGCTGCCCCTCTGTCCGTCGCTGATGCCAGTGCCCCCAGCCGGCG